CCGCATACCAGGACGATATGCGTAATTTTATAATAATTTTTGTATGTGAGAGCCATGCGGAAGGGATACGTTAGAATAACATTTTTCCATCAGAGTAATATCATTAAATTAAACAGGAAATAATTAATTTGATCATAAAATGTTTTAAGTAGTTAATTAGTTGATTAACTAAATTGTCAAATAATATTTAATCAAATAATTATCCATTGAATTAATACAAATAAATCAATATATCAAAATGAATTAATGCTCTGCTGACTTGAAACAATTTCTGCATTTTTACCAACAACTGATTGTTTTATGATTTTTAAAAAATTTCGAAATAATCCTAAAGATTATTATAATTTATTCTAAATAACTCTATCGTATGACTCGATTTTATTATAATTGTTATTGATGAAAAATAGGGCACTGAGACATAGATAGACAGATATATAATTCTGAGTTACCACTTACACCGATAAAATCAAGAGCTCTGTGAAAAATTCTCTTGTTAATAAAGTTCAATCTTATATAAAGAAATCACGATTATCGATCACGATCGGTCTCGTACGATAATATTATGAAGAAAAATAGCGTCAGTGTTAGCCAATCTACTAGTCACCGTTAACACCTCCACCAGAACGTCGCAGACGTTCATTTCATTTTCGAAATTAGACGGGAGATGCGCGTCGGATTTATACCTGAATCAGTATATCTAGCGATGAGATAGCCAATCACGGCGTACAGACAACCGTCGAAAGCGATGATTATCAACAACAATCCCAGAGACATCGGATCACCAGGACTCGATTCCTCCCACAAATTCGCCCAAGTGAGACCGATGCTTTGAACTTCCTTTCGCACTGCGTACAGGCATCCGTAGCAGAAGCTGGTTGACATGCTCAGGCACTGAGAAAAATAAATCGTTAGAGATAGAGAAGGCAACCTCTCGGCAAACTCGATCTTAGGCGTGTAACAAGTTTTCTTTCATTGAATTTATATATATAAATTCGAAATTGATTGCTATATCGCGAACTACGTGTCATTATTTTTAATGAACAACGCGCAACAGCTCAAAGCTGTTTTTTTAATAAATCGATAATCAAATTTTAAATCGATTAATCCTCTCCCTTTTCCCCTATTGAAAATTCTTAAATAAAAAATAAATAAATTTGTTTTGTGACAAACATTTTTGACAATACAATGAATCATTAAACGTACGTAATCTAACGTTAGTAACAACGCGTTTAATTGCTTACTTTTGGTTGATTAATACTTTTACTTTATAGAATTAAATAAGAATGCTGTTAGATTGCTAGCTCGACTCACAATGAAAAGTTTGAATCCGAGTCCGAATACAGCCTCCATGGCGATAACAATAATGTATGGCATATAAGTTAATAGGAACATGACGACTGTAGTAACAGCGGCGAGACTGGCGGAGCTAAACATCGTCGAGATCATATAGCTGAAATATGATTCAGATTTATAATTGTTAATGCTGGGGAGTAGAAGAAACTTCATGCGTACTTCATCCGAATACAACGCAATCGTGTAATAACAAAGATTTCTTGAAGAGTACTTACCAAAAAGTCACTACAGAAAAGATGTAATCGAAAAGTAAAATAAGCACTATGAGAGGATCCGATCGCGGAAGGATTTTTCCAGCCAGTAAAATCAAGGAAATGCAAATCATCACAATCGATAGCTCTGCGTAAGACGTGATGAACCAAGCCAAGGTATTTCGCCATGGCTTCAATCCCATTACGCTCATTACCTGAAAAATTAATGGCAACAAACGGATAATTATAGCGTCGCGTTTTCCGTAAGAAACCTTGTTGTTTCATAAAATCCATTTTATACGTTATCATATTGCATATCAAAAATTATATCCTAAATTACAGATTACTTAAAATAATTTTTATTAATAATTATACCATAGAATTTTGCGATTCTCTTTCCCAAACGATATGCCTGACGGCTGATCCAACACACATCATTAATGCGAAGAAGAAGCATACTTGCAATCCTTGAGACTCATAAAGCGTTGTTTGAAATCTATAATGTTTATTTCCTTTATTAATAAATAATTACGAATGACTGCTCATGAGAAATAACAACATATAATATATTATAATTTTCATTAATTTTCATTAATTTTCATTAATTTTCATTGATTAAGATTTTTATCGTAAAATCACACAATTATTTCTTTGACTCACGGTGCGTGTTTGTAACACGGATATGGCATCTGTTGTGTAACTGTCTTCCAATCGAGATCCCTTCGTGCTTTCGTCTTCACAATCGCGCGATCGATGGAGTCCTGAAGTTGAATGAAACCTCGAAGATACCTGAGATGCTCAATGAAACTGCTTTCTGGTCCGGGAATCCAAAATTGATTCTTCAATCGCCTGGTGGACGGCACGTAATCTACGTCCATTCGAATCTTATAGGTAATATTGTTTGGTAATTCGTGATCTAGAGATCTCTTCATCCGATTCGAGGAAGCGTCGTTCAGAAAGATCACTCCTGCCAGAAACTCATTCGTATCAGTCAAACGACTGGCCGCTTCCTCCAGTTCCTCTTCCGTGGAGAATCCTATCGTTCTATTTACCAACACGCATCCCATCATGTCGTTCAGCATCCCAATCATCGAAATTAATTTATTCGATTTTTTTAACCGCCATGCGATTTCGCTGAGGTTCAATTCGGAAAAGTCGCCTATATGATAATAATGGACAAACCAAATGAGAACATTTACTTACTAATTTCAACGCAATTTTTAATTTTTTTTTTTATTGTTAAGGGGATGAAGTTTCAAGCTTGAAGTAAAAAGTACCTTCGAAATTACCGCCACTCATCGACTTGATTGCTACTTTCATAACGTCGGAAGACATTATACTCTGCAGTTCCTTCAAAGTATCGCTCATATCTGTGAGATTGGCCAGAGACTTGAGAGTCTTCTCGACACTATTCATCAGCACACTGAAGTGTTCCATCTGCACGAAAGTTTCGTTCGCCAAAGCCATGACCTCGGAGATCACTGTAGTATTAGGTGCGTAAAGAATCTGACCGCGTAATAGAGGTTTAAAGTACGACCAGACGATCTTTCCGCCAGGTATGGCGAGTACAGTTTTATACGTTTCTCTGCAGATACCTAAAATTTTTAACATTATGAGTTTAATAATAAATTATTTTATTTTCCATAATTTTTACTGTCTTACTTGGCAAAGACTCGAGTTCCTTTTGATCGAACGCCGTGTTACTATCCTCCAAACTGGATATAATTTTGTAAATTTGCCCGTTATCTTGAATCAATTGTTTACCACAAAGCATTTCACTCGAATCCTTCAGAAATTGGGAGTCTAAAAAATAAAAAAAGAAATTCTAAGAAATTGGGAATCTAAAAAAATTTGTGTGTACAAAATTTAATAAAAGAAGTTAAAATTTAGCTCGAATTTTTTTGATTCTCGACTTAAATATAAAATCGACATGTTACATGACTTACTGGATAAATTTTCTTCATCAAGGTTTTCTGTTTCAACTCCAAAAGAAAAATTCCCTGATAGTCTGTCTTTGAAAAGTGGAAATAGTTCCGCGGCGACGCCAAGATTGTCCAATATAACTTTCCCTTCGGCTTCGGTTAAATTAGCGTTAGCCAATATACTTTTCACATTAGCGCTCATTAACTGAAACAAAAACAAATATTTTTCCAAATTCTTGAATCCTAGAATCGAAACAATAAATCAAAGGCAGCATTACGTTTTTGAAAATATATTCGAAATTTAAATTCTTCATCAACGTGATAGTGATATTTTGCGTCTGAGAGTCTTCTAATTGGCAAAGCGCGGAGCTAACTTCTTCGGCAGTCACAAGATTGTTATCAAAGTGTAACATATCACCGAGTTTCTCGGGTGAGCAAATAGTATCTTTCAAGCTAATGACACCACGTTCCTTCATGAATACTGAAATCATGTCTATCTTGGCTTCGCCCAAGGTGAGAGCGATCTCGTTACTGATACCAATTTTATCAATCAAATATATTCGCACGACATCCCAGTTATCGAACATTTCTTTGACGACGTCTGTAAAATGTAAATTATTAGCTAGAGAAAATTACAACATGATCTAACGAAATTTAAGCATAATTTAATACACTTCATATCCAATAATCCCAAGTTTTTGAAAATCTCCATTGACTCCAATGTTTCAATTATTGTATGTAAATCGTCGATTATTTCCTGATCATCTATGAACGGTTCCACATCCTCAAGGAGTTCTTTCATTCTATAAAAAAAAGTATAGTAAAAGTATTTTTAATGCAATATCAAAACATCAAGAATTACAAATAAATGATAGACCTTTAAAAATTATAACACAATAATTCTAAACCAAAGTTTTATGAGAAAAAAAGAAATTTTATTTAAGAAATATTTATTTACCCGTCAAATAATTTGTCGATAGTTTTATCCTTTAATATATGAACGATGCCCTCGGCAATATCGGAGACTCCGAGAACGTTGGTGACATCGTCGAGATCTATTTTACTAGCGACGTCCAGCAGACTTCCGCCCTCCGCGAGAATCGAGGACAGATGAATCAAGATCTCCTTGAGCCAGAAGAGATTCCAGGAAGCATCTGTGCGCCAGAAAGACATCTGCCGACCTATGAGCTCCAAGTCCAGACTGCGAGCCAGTCGGCTCGAAATGTCGGCTACCGACGGATATTTGGATGCTCTTGGATCGTATCGGAAAACCTTAGCCGCTCTCTTCGAGCTGAGGAAAGTATATAGAACCGTCTCGTTTCGGCAGTCGGCTTTCGTCTTGCACAAACTCGTGTTCAGCTTGTTTAGAATCGCGTTCACGTTGATCGTGGCGTTTGGTAACGCGGCGTCGATGTCGGCGAGGTCGGACTTCTTCACCACCTCGCGCAACGGCTTCCAAATAGGCACGTGTTCCTCGGCCAATCTGGTTAAATTGTTGATGTTCTCGTGGACGGTCGCCGAATCCACGATGTAAACGTTCTTTTCCAACATGTCCAGTACGCTCAGAAGGAATGTAATGTATCTTGAATATGTAATGACATTAAATGTTAACAGACACAAGATTCTCGATATGATGATAATGGACAATAACTAAATATAACTAAATAAATAATGAGAATCACTATCGTAAACAGTGCGCAATTGTATATTTAATCTCAACTAGTATGACAATAATATTATTTTATTGCTAAATGCGTATATCGCTCGTGACGGAGATACTTACAATCCTGGCCTAGAATACGTAGGACCGCCGACAAATTTGTAGAAACAATCGTTCACTTGATTACTGTATGTCTCGTTTTGAAAATCGATTATAATATCGGCGATGTAATGCAAGGTAATTTCGAATGTATCCAAAAACTCATTTAGCGTCTTCTTGGTACTGAGATATTTATAACTTTTGAGCTGATAAATTTTTTTCAAATTAATAAGTAATATAACATTATGGTAATTTTTTACACAATTTATTATCGTGTACATAATTTATTTCTTACCATACTGCCTGTTTTATTCCAGTTAAAATCATTCATCAAAATGTTATGCACTTCTGATATATTTAATCGATTCATTTGGCAGAGTAATTTTGAGTATTGACTATGATAGATCAATTGAGAATTTAAAATCTCCATTGGAAGCGTAATGCACCACGTACAATTTCTAAAATCGTAATAAAAATACCGTACAGTATTATATTTTTTTAATTAGATCAATTATCATCTTTTAATAATATTACTTACGCAACATTATATCGAGATTCAAAAAAGTTTCTGAAAATCGATATTGTCTTCTTTATCATGGAATATGCCAGAGCTTTCGTGTCCTGCAAACATTTTTAAAATAAGGCAATATTTTTGAAAGTTAAATAATAACATTTGCGCTATTTATTCAATCGGTACGAATATTCAACAAATGAGAGAATGTTGTTTACCTTCTTCTTATACTGCGCGACGAAATCTTTTAGAGTACCCTCTTCGAACGACGTCCACCACGCAGGAATTTTCAGCTGCTTGAAGCCTTCGTGCGAAAAGCGAATTAAACTAGTCTGAAAGCTTTGTACCCTTTGCATCACTTGCGTTTCGTAAACGGAGCCTGGTATTTCAGCCCTATCAGACATGGAGCTATCCTACAAATCAAATTAAATTAATTATAACATTCAGTGTAATTATTAATCTATGACAGAAATTACGTTGTATTGTCCCTCAAAAGGCAACAGGTCTGTCCAAGTATTCGGCTTGTTATCCTTCTGATGACAGAAACTCGTAAGGCTGGCCAGCAAGCCTTTCTTCCTTATGTAATTAGGTGGAATCAAATATCGATCGATATCGCAAGGATACACCTGACCAAGGAGTAGCTTCTGTATAAAATCATCCAGCCTCTCGGACGAGACGAAGGTGTCGACAGCGGTGATAACAAGATTAGGCATATCTTCCGCGAGTGTTAATATCGATTTTAGCTTTGAATTCTCATACATGACTCGCAGTTTCTGCCAGACATCTCCGCCCGAGATGAGATTGCTCACGGATTCTAGAACCTGAAATAATCTCCTGGACCCAATGAGGGACTCGTATGTCATCTCTTCGAGTTTAAAAATATATGCAAACTTTCGATAATTAAAGATCCAAGATTTTTCAGCTTTCAGGATCAAGGCCCAGGTTTCGTTTGACAGATTCTCCCACGTCGTCGCGTTGAGGATATTCGATCTGAGACTTACCCCTGGTGATGTGTGTGTAAAATTCGAAATAATATCCAACAGTGTTATTAACGACATAGTTAACGGCGTTGTTCTCGAAAGGGTAATTGTCCGACCAGTGACAACGTCCTGCGAAAAAAAATACGCAGGGATTAAAGATAATTAAATGAAATAAATTATTTTAATTGTATTTTCTGTACGCGTACATAGTATTCGTCGCTCGTGACAGCCCTCAGCAGCTGATGGGGATCGAACGAGCACACTTCCCGTAGAAAATGTATCCTGTTTGCTGTGGACCAATAATCAGAGTTGAAATAATGGGTGCACATAATCTTTCTGACATCCTTGTAATTCATAAACCAGCCGATCGTGTCGTTAAATGTGCTAAGGGTGGCAATTAGAGCGATAGTCTCTTCCGGATGAGCTTCCAAAATCTTTAACATTTGACGCATGTCGCCGTTCTCCAATTCCCAAATTTCTAATTTGTAGTCATGTGTTTTGGCGTTCTTCAACACGTTGCCAATGTGCATTATAATCTCCGACATACCCTCCATAATTAATCTGTAAGTCGTCCAGTTTTGATCTAATGTCACCTCCTGAAAAAGGATAGCCACTTGTTGCGTCACTTATGCGAAGAGATCATCCGATTAAATCTGTGAAACTTCCGCTTCCATAAAATATAAATGTAAATGTGACAATTATCATTTACCTTATGCAAAGTGCTCTCGTCACTTTTGATCTCGAGACTCTCTCTCAGCATCTGGAATACATGCTCCGAATATTTTTTCGAAAACGGCTTTTCGATGACGACATTATTTTTCACCGTACGGCCGATAGTTTTCACAAGATCGTACAAATCGCCAATCATCGAAGCTACGTAAGATCGATACTTATTGACGGGTTTCTTCCAGATCGTTATTTCCGCCATATAGAGATCCGTGTAGACATTAAAGTTCTCAGGATCGAGATCACAAGTAAAATTTTTCAAGGTCCTATATTCTTCGACACTCAGACCAACTTTTTCATCTGACAGCCAATCGAACATCATTGAACACGTAATTGCAACGTTATTTTTCAATGCTGTGATAATTTGATCGTCTACTGTAGGATTGGATAGCCCGTTCACTAACGTCGAGAGGATGTAAGGCAATTGGTTGTAGAAAATAGTAATAGGAGATGTATTATCGAAACCTAACAAGGATAATAAACTAATTTTCCCGGTGCCTAAAAAGTAAAATATCACAATAAAAATTAAAATTGAAACAATAAAAATTAATAATTAATAATTAAAATTAAAATACAAAAAATTGAATATCAATTTTCTTAATGTATATATATATCACAAATATTATTTACTAATAATATTGAATAGTCAAAAATTTTTGTTTACCATCTTTTAATATATTAGTCACGATACGTGCGCTTTTATGAATGACATTAGAAAAATACTTTAAAAGAATGAGAATACGATCAGTATCGTTGACTGATGGTTGCCAAACTCCACTTGCAGAATAATCGCTGCCAAAAGATTTGATTGCTTTGTCGATCTCTAAATCAATATGATCCAAAGTATTTCTTAAACAGAAATTAATGTTTTTAAAATAACTGCTATAAATTATGCCAAAATGTAAAAGATATTTTGTACAAAAGAGATTCTTTTCTGATTAAATTGAAAATTGAATTTTTACCTCCAATCATTTTTCATGCTAGGTAATCTTTCCTCAATAATGTCATCTGATTCTGTTGCGAGTGTCTTTAAATATTTCGTTAATTTTGGTTCTTCCGCAATAACGACATCTTTAGCGTCGTTTATCAGATTGTCAAATTTCGTCACTAATCGTCGAAATTTCGTGTAACCCAAAGTCCAATTAAACGATGGTAAATCTACATTTTCATCATGCTCGAACTGAAAATTAATATTATATATGTATTTAATATATAAATATTAATTTCTAATTAATAATTCAAGATTTACTTTCCAAATTTGTATTATTTTTTATTATGTTTTGTTAATATTTATTATTTGAAGAAAGAAACTTTTCAGAATAATTCCTTCTGATTGATATATAAATAATTATATAATAATTAATTGATATATAAATAATTAAATAGAAATAAATTAAACTTACAATTTTTCGAACTCTCATTAGCACCGGCTGCTCCCTCCACTCTTTAATAAAGAGACCTGGATTACAAGCAATTCTTTCGATCTCTCTAACAACTTCCTGACTTCCATTTCTTAATTCTAACGCAGAGCCAATACTTTCGTTCATGATGCAGGGCCACATCAGCTCGCGTTCTTTGTAATCATCAATTGCCGATATCTAAAAAGCGATATCCATCGCGATATATTTCGTAGAACGTGATGCTCAAAATTAATTAAACAGATACACTTGGGAAATTACTTACAAGAGGTACCGGCCTCAGAGTTATCATGTCGACTATGTCGAGAATGACTGGAGATAAATTTCTTAAGAACGTGCTCACAAGTATCTCGGTTTGTGGCATTTCCTGCAGCACCTCGGAAAGTCTCGCCACGTGATTGTTCTTCTGGATCTGATCGATAATTTTCTCGAGATTGTCGAAAATCACCGAGGTTGCCCACGCAAGCCCGTAAATGTTCTTCCAATTTTTTTAGTTTGGATTCCGAACAATGGACTCTCCATCACGTCAAAGACCTTGCAGATTAAACCTACGCTGCAGACATATACAATGTGTTATTGATCATTTCTCGCGTATCGTAAAAAGATCTTTTTAAATAAAACATGGAGCCTTGCGTGACGAATGAAATATATTGAAAATATTTCTTACCTAATTTCCCAGGTATCTTTGGCTGTTCCTTCCGTCGTCCATGAGATCTGGAAGTTCTGCTTCAGTTTCTCCAATTTCTTAGAATCGTAATTCTGATCCTCCTGATGCACCAGGGTATCGACGTATTGGTAAATCTCGATTGTCTTCTCGTTGAAGGCCGTCCAATTAAACTCCCTCCGTCTGTAGGTAGCTTCCTCGATTTCGATGTTGGTCACGTTCAATTCCAGATTCCTTTGCACAGATTTAGATAGATAGCATACCAGTTCCTTCAGAACCGTACTATTCGATTCCTTAGGAAAATTTAGCAAATCCGGCGGATTCGGATCTATGCAGTACGTTTGTGTGAAATTAGAATACTCCAGAATCTGTAATGTCTGTTTTAACAAATATTGCATTAAAATATTAAAGTTCAGCAAACTGTACATTTGATTGTATGATGTAAAATCCAAAGATTAAAGTAGATTTATTAATTGCTTTTTGAACTGACCTTGTTTTTATCCGTGACGGTAAGGTAAAACGATTCGATTAATTCAGCTGCGTGTCGGCGAACTTCTCCAATCCAGTTAGTAGGGTTAGTTCGTAGATCTTGTAAAATTATTTCAGCTAAGAAATCCATATTTTCCAGATCTGGCTTGATAGACATATACGATAAACTATGAAGACCTAGCGATTTTGCTATGCTCAAGTGAATTCCCAAGCTGAAAAACAGAAAATGTTAATGTATGAAATTAAAATAGCTGAGAATTTTAGATTCATAAATAAAAAGAAATAATTTGATGATACAAATTTAATGCACTTAGAATTATTAAGTAATATAATTAAAGAAGCATACAAATAAAATAAATAAGTGAAGAATATACGTATTGAATAATACAATAACAAAAACAAATAAAAATGAAATATAATTTACATGATCTGGAGCTTTTATTTTATTCGTGCTATTTCTACTCACATGTCTAATCTTCCTTGAAGCTGTGTCTCATCGAAAGTTTTTTTCCAATCATCACTAATTTGGAAAATCCTCCAATTCAAATATTTTGTCTTTCGCGTATTTAGATAAGTCATAAATTTTTTGACATTCCTCACAACGGATGTTAAATTTGAATTTTCGATTTTGACTGGTTGTTTAAACGCCATAGAAACCATGGTTGATAAAGTATTGCTCACCTATAAAATGTAATTTATTTAATTATGCAATACAAATAATTATTATTTGGACATTAACTAATTATTATACATACGATTCTTCCAAATTTGTCGAACTCGAAACTGTTATAAATATCAGTAATGAATTGCTTTCCATCATCTTCGCAAAATAATTTATTAATTTCATTGGATTTGCCTGAAAGCTCAGTATAATTTTCAAATATTTCTCTCGTCGTATTTTCTTGACAGAACACTTCTTTAGCTTCTGCTTTTCTTAAATCATTTATCACATCCTATAAAAAAATTCTTTTAAATTATAATTTTATCGACTTGATTTAATTTAAAAGAATAAGAATTATCTCAATTTTTAATGAAATGTAGAATAACAATGCAACATATTTTAAAATAAATAACAAACCTCTACAAAGTCTAATCGAGAGAAGGATCGAATAATCGTTTTATATATAGTAGGTTGAAGATTTGTCAGTATCGTTTGGACTAAATTATGATGCTTTATAAAAATCTCATAAAATCTTTTCAAAATTTCTTCATGAAGAACAGCAACGTGATGAGTCATTTGCACAATATTGTCCGCTAACGATACCAAGTATGTAGCTGAATTTACTAAGTTAGTGGAAAAGAAATTTCTGAGTCCATCGAAAACTTCAGCGGCTCTAAATTAAAAATTAAGTAATATTACAAACAATTGAATCGATTAACACTTTATTTATATTTAAAGAAAAGATACTTGCAATTCAAAATCATCTACGTTGCGATCCAGCAGCTTGTTAGTGAGTTTGATACCGTCCTGTAAAATCAGGAAAGACAGGTCCAATATCTGCGTGATATTTTCATTATTTTCGGAATTTTCGGAGAAAGTCGATATTGTCCCATGCAACCGATCCATCATACTGAAGATATCGTCTTCCGTGGAATTGATTTTTTGATGCACAAATTCCTTTAGCAACTTCAGGAGTCTGTTTAATTTCAAAAATCCACTTCGGGCGATCGGCCAGTCTCGTTCGTACGCAAATATGGGATCGAGAATCGCAATGGCTTTGTTGATGCTGAAATTAAAATATTCCGCGTTCCAGTATTCCTCATATAGCTTCGAAAAATAGAATTGGAAATATGAAGAAATAAATTTAGGGAAAGAACATTGCAAACCGACTCACAAGCCCAGATCGATTTCCTTGAAAGTTACATTATGAAAGGTCAGAATTATTTTCGGCAGCCATTCACGGATTCTCAAGTACTCGGGTATGTATTTCTTAGACGTTTTCAAATCGAGAATGGTTTCTATTGCTCGTTTGAGATCCTGAAAGAAATCGTAATGGCGAAATTTTGCCATCGCGCGATCGACCATCTCCAGTAAACCAGTAAAGTCCAGGTGTTTGGAAACATTCTCCAAAATATCAGGAATCGCTAACGGGTCGATGTTGCAAAGAATATTCGAGATTTCCGCAAAATCCTCCTCTTTAGGTAAAATCAAGTAATTCTTTAAGTTTTCCGCCGAGCAAACGACGCCGTCGATGTTGGACGAACCAAAAGTTTGAATTAACTGTAACAAATAAGAATTGACGTAAATAATATTCCTTTTGAAAGATGCATAATTACTGACTATATTTATTGAAATTGATATTTATTTACGTATATTAATTTCACGGATGACTCGAATAAACCGTCGATCAAACCCTCCCTCGCTCCCGGCATATGAGATCTCAGTACGGTTTTAATCTGCTCGTGATTGTTGAACAAATCGCCCAAACGGATTCCTTTATCTGTCGACATATCCAGATATTTAATTGTCGAAGAATAAAATTAAATTTCAACTCGTATGCGAATGCGTACCGAAAAGCGCCTTGATTTCCGGCTTGGTGAGTATCTGTGCCATTGACTTCAATAGTTGAATACTCTGCGGCAATGTTTCCACAGCGGAGATAATCGTTTTGTTATTGAGCATCGGTTGGAGTTCCGTGATTAAAGGGCCTAAACTACATTCAGCGAAAAAAATCGTACCAGTAATTAGAAATTTGTATACAAATAGCGCCTCATTACTACAATAATATAATAATAAATTTAATTACTAAAATATATAAATTATGATATAAATTAATTTGCAGTAAATCGTTAGATAAACCAAATGTATTATATAACGTTGTTGTTATCAATATTTTTTTCAATTTATCTTAATGATGTAGCTTATTTCACAAAAATATTTATCTAAACTAAAAAAATGTAATCTCGTATTCTGTTTGTATAAAATCTACGTAACCACGTAATTATAGCTGAGTCGCTATTTCACTATCAATTAATAATTCACATATACTGTTACCGTGATTATATTTTATTATATACAATATTACTTTCGTACTTATTACTTTGAAAAACTAGTTGCAGATACTTAAATTTCACACACTGTCATAAACGTAGTTTGCCAGAACTATTTTGTTTTCTCTCAGTATATTATTGCAAAGAGAAAGAAAGAGAGAGAGAGAGAAAGATTAAGTTATGCTTTTTCGGATTTTTATCAGGAATATTGTATAAAAAAATGAATGTTGCACTAACGTGGCGTTTTTGTACGAAGGCACCTCTTCGTATTCCGACAGCGGGTCGCAGGGATTTCCAACGCTGCATATGTAACTTTGCACAAATGGCAGAAGCCCGTCTTGCGGCATCGATCTTGCGGGAAACTGACATGTTGGGTGATATTCTGGATCTATATTATCACGCACCGTATAGAGAATCAAGAAAACCACTATCGGCCAAAAGAAGACTAGAGCCAGAATTCCCTTAAAATTATTTCATATAATGAACAAGACTTGTTTCATAAAATAGGAAATAGATATCTCGTTAAATCAGCTGTGACTTACTGGCTGTCGCTTCCGAACGATATAATTCTTCCAAAGAAGAAGTCCAAGCTGATCGGTCCTCATTTTTAATGGAGGATTTTATCTGAAACACATACATTATTATCATTATAAGTTATTTTGAAAAATACTTAATAAGCTGAAGAAACTAATTGATGAAATAATGTATTTTAAAGTAATGAGGAAATAGTTGATTTTATTTATTTTTAATTTATTTTAATTTATTTTAATGTATTTTAAAAGGTATTTTAAAAATGAACAATTATTAATGTATCTTTTCCTCATAGCATTTGTCTTTCATAAAAATCTATAAATCTTGCTCGCGCGATTTTCCACGTATTCCTATATACTTAGCTATATTTAGAATCTATGACAATGACTGTAATTACTACCTGTTAATGTATAAGACATTGATTGCCTAAGTAAGCGATGAGAAATAATTATATACCCGAATTAATAATTCGCATAAAGTTTTTCAGTACATAAATAGCAAGCGTAAATAATACATAAAATAATATAAATAATAAAAATAAACAGTAACTGGTAATAATTTAAATATAAATTTAAATATAAATTAATATCTCGATATTTGGAAAAAAATCAATGAAATACAAAAATTGAATCTTTACTATAAAATTTACTTATATTTTATTTAAAAAAAAAACGAAAATTATCGATACGGGTTTCGATGTTAAAAAACAATAGTTAAATTAAAGAAACGACATTTTTAATGTTAAATCGGTTAATCTATTGAAATTGAATAAACTCTAAACAATAACCGATATAAATAATATAAGGTCGAAATGTCTGTTATTTATATTATTTATATCGATCATTGTTTAGAGTTTATTTAATTTTAATCAAATTAAGAAAGTTGTTTTTCGGCCTTTATGCTCTTTGATTTAATTATTATTTTGTCATTTTTTTTTATATTTTACAAATTGAGACATTCATTATGCGGCCCTTCCCTTACGTTACAAAGAGTCATTTGAAATCGGGCAACAACGCCCAACTCGACAACGCTTACGAGCTGGGATCTCGCTCGAAAAACTGTACCGAAAACCTTGCGCGATACAATGGAAAGTCTCGCGAGCTTGCGTGCAGCCGTGTCGTATACTACTAGTCTAGAGTGCTCGAAACGTGTGGAATCCACTTGAACCGAGTGCACTCGGAAAAATGCTGCCGGTGAATGGTGACCTATCAGAAAATTTTATCGCCGCATGAAGAAACAGCTGAAAATTTTTCACCGCTGTTGTTGCAGAATCGCACTCACGTCTTACGTATCTATTACTAAGCAGCGCAATCGTGCGAGTAGCACCGGCGAATCCACTATCATTGCGAATTCACACTTGGGATGTGAGGAGATAAATAGCACTCCGAAATTGCTGCCCCGTCGCATAAAGGACGCGAGATCGACTGACGGTCGAATAAAATTAAACACCCGTACGATCGCGCAAATATTTTATGTTTTCCAATATTAGCGTTGCGCTAGCGAGACGAAAATTTATCTTTTATACGTATTTTATCCCGTTACACTGCTGCGATATTATCACGCGATAGTTATTTACATTGTACGATACGTTCCGCATTTGAATTTTTCCAACCGTAAAAGTACCACATTCACCGCGTATCTTTCTGCTTAGACAGCCATCCGCGAATGTTCCATCGGTACTACCGCTTGGCTTCGTTTTAGAATTCGATATCTCAATAAGACCTGTGAGAATTGTCTATTGTCCTTTCGTGAGCCGGAGATTCGCTCTGTCGATCGTCCTGTCTAGCACACGACCCAAACTCGATTAGTCCTATTTGCCAAAACTTTGAATATACAACCGAATTTTCGACTCGCTCAGAAAAGCGTTTCACTTTTCCTGTCTATTCTAATTACCCATACATATATATATATATATATATATATATGTTTATATTATTTTAAATATCGAGAGTCTTTATTTTGTACGAATGAATTGCAAAGCTTGACTATGTTGCATGACAATAATAAAGCGTGACGTGACAATATCACTTTATTGGCTGATGTTTGATTGTTTGATGATGTTGATTACATTAATTGGAAAAAATAATGTTACAAAAGCGATACAAAAATACAGCCGATCGCGGGCAAATGGCAGGATAAAATTTATGTTTATCAACCGGTATCGAAAATGAAATTTGTACTGCGAGATTCAACACAAATATATACACAAATATACATGAACAGCGTGACTAATTTGCGTGTCCATCGATGCAGCTATGCAGCCGGAAATGCGTATACTGTTTTGTCGCGTGTCGCACCGACGACAGGATGCATTACAGAGATATGGAGCAGTGAACCGAGCGGCGGCTCTCGTGCAAGGATAAAATGCGTATCAGAAATAAATGTCCTGTCTGCGTCAATCTCCTTCCGGAGAAATTACAAATGCAAAAATGCTACGCGCGCGCACAAGTCCGAAGAAATACGAGGGCTATTTATTTCCGCTTATTAGCCGCAGCCGATCTCAGTTTAGAAGTAATCTCATTGTAAAAATTAGTAAAGCGCATAATGACAATAGTACGCTTTGAATAGATTCGCGTAAGAAGAGGCAGTCAAGGTAAAATAATCGGGTAGCTACAACGATACGGTGTAGATTATTAGAAAGTTCCGACGCAATTGCTAATAACGGCGAATGAAGAAAATTAAATTCAATGTCGCGTTTTATTAAGAGTAATTTTTCTTCGATTTCTTCTTCTTCTTCTTCTTCTTCTTCTTCTTCCTCTGCTTCTTAATCGCGTGTGACCTCCAAATTAATCAGCATTCGCAGTCGCGCACATGATGACCGGTCATTCGTATACGATTACACGAGTCTCTTATGAGATAACGAAGATCCGTAGTAATTATTGATTTGCTAATCTCGTGTCGGAGTATGTCATTAACGTAATCGCAGACGATGCGATTACTGCACTTACGGAGAGCTAAACATGGCCGTAATACGATTGGCGGTACACGAAAATACAAGCGTGCCGTCATTTTAAATATTCTGCAATGCAATCTGCATCCCGTGCAAATACACGGTGTCTAGTAAATTATACAATCCGCGAGGAGATGACTCCGCGTGGAAAGGAAGAGATGAAGAGTACATTTTAATATTCGAATTCCATTTTTCATGGAAATTGCGAATCGATTGATAAAAAAAAATAATTTATTTCGCATTTCTTGCCTGTTCTTCTTTATCTCGAATCATCCTCTCGAAGATTGTAGATCGTGATTTATTAAACGCTACGTAACAACAGATGATATTTTACTGCTAATGGAACACAAATATAGAAACACTTCGATGAGACTCAACAGTATCCTCGAGAGTTTAGTAAATGCAGATGCAGACGATAAATTCAAAGCCAATGCGTTATTTGTACAGTATGTTCTCAGAATTGTGTGTTTTCCTTTGGAAAATAGTATTTATCAGAGCGCGTTCTTTGATGTACCAAAAGTCTCGTAGAAAAGAAAAGGCACGATCTATTTTAATAATAAGGTAATAAAATACAGCTTTTGTGGAACTATTAAGACTCAATTAAGATCATCTCAATTGAAGTGTTATATTTATCGAGACCGGGTATATACGTAATAAACCCGACATTTGACGACATGTTACGTACTTGAGAAATGTATTAGCTATCCACATTTCTTTTTTAGATGAACTCACGATAGGAACAAAATTGATGGTTTCCCAGAAATCGAGGTCAGAAGAAGGAGAGACGAGTAGATATTAATTTGCATAGGTTTTTTTTTTTCCTCTAGCTACAGCTATAATCGTCGTGGTACACGTGTCTTTTCGGTTTCATTCGGTGACCATGAATTACGAGCCGGTTATTGCCGTTTATATCCCGCGATGCGAGTGAACTTCTGGTTCCGCGGAAAGTTGGGCAAAAAAGAGGCATTCCGGTCCGCGCCCAGCTCTTCGTTTATTAACACTCCGCGAACAACGTGCACTTTCACCGTGGTGTGCAGTTATGCGAGTCGCGGTTACGGCGCAACCGAATAAACCCGAATCATTTCGTAACAATCACGTGTAGATTTAATGATACCTTTTTTTTTTCTAGCGCGCACTTGAATAAATTCGCTCTTCTCCCGATCGGCTTCTCGTCGACGGCAATTGGAAATTCATCATTTTTGCATCGTACATTATACATACAGATAACAAAACACGAGAAGATCATTAATTGTCGCATCTTTAGCATATTCAATTATTATTTTTTGTTGAATTATGTTTTGATGAACAACGAATCGTTGATAGTGCAATGTAATGATCTGTCAAATAAAATGATCGAAGAATAATAATAATAAAACGCTAATAATGAACGCTACAAAAATGAAGCCCCTCGCATATGTGATCAATATAACAAATGATAATAGATATAATATAATAAATATATCTAAAAAAAATTATGTAATTAATATATCTAAAAAAATTAATATATCTAATTTTTTTGTCAAGTTAAACGAGAGTGAATATGCGCGGTCGCAATAATGAGATTCATCAAGCGTGCGTTGCCTCGCCTCTTTCGTGTTTTTGCGGGTGAAAATTCACGATCCGATTGTTAACATGTGCGGCACGATCTATAGTCCAAATATGCGAGTGTCGTTGGCACGTAATTATTATACGCGGCAGTGACCACTGTTGCGACAACGCGACATCGCAAGACGATAACGTAAGTCGCATCTCATAAATATTCTTCCGCGTAAAGTACAGATACTCCGCATCAAAATATATTGGACTAATAAATATTAAAATAAAAAAAAAAGATATCGTACCTTTTGTAAGGTCGAATAGGAATATTTAAAGATATCGATTATGGACGATGCTGGCGACTTTAATCTCGATAGATATCAGATTGATTCGATTCAATTTCGATCTCATTTGCTATTATCTTAGGCAATTATTTCACATAATGAATATTCTTATTTGCCATTAATTTCCGCGTAAGACTCTCGAAGTCAAGCAAGGTTCAAAGTTTAAAGCTGCCGACGTATCGAGGGACAATCGTGACTAAGCGGACTAATCTTCTTCTGTGTGGAGCGATTAATACGCAATACGAGGCGAGCCTTGTTGACAAAGTGCGTAAATGCTTGAACGAAATCTGCAAAAAATCAGATTTCACATAACAAGTTTAACGAGAGCACACACATAGGAATCGAATATATAAATTCATAATTAGCATTACAGAAGGTTATATAAATATAAAATCGCGTAACTCGTAAAATACGTAAATTGCGTAAATCGAATGTAAATAAAGAATTAATATTAATCAGTTGTTACATAAATGATGTCACTTTATAATGCGAAAAGAAGATTTAAAACTAAAATTATAAACGTAAGCATATTTAAATTTTTGTTTGCATTCGCATTTGGACATCCGAACTAAAAATTTCTATATTGACGAGCTATAAAAGATTAAGGTAGACAGAATGGTCATCTTCGGACGCAAAAAAGCGACCTGTACGTAATAAATTTTATTTTTTTTTTTGTTTGAAACTTTATCGATCTTGGACATCGATCTCTGCATTAATCAAACAAAAGAGAAGTATTATATGGCCCAATAAACATGCAAATAAAGAAAAGAAACATGCAAGAAGAGAAAAGTGATTTAAAATATTAGATTGAAGTTCCTTTACAAAAACATCACTACATTATCTCACAAAGTGTAAAAAGTGTAAAAAGTGTAAAAAGTTCATGGTCGCTAATAAAGATACGTAAAAATGTAAAGTATTCGAGGCAGTTCGACATAAAATACAGAATGCCCTTGACAGATCATGTCTGAGAGGGAAATAGAAATGAAAGATGCATGTGGATCTTTTAGAGGCGTGCAACTTCCAATGGCGAGATTATAAATCACCCTAGAGGATTAGACAAGACCAAGTCAAATGGAATCTTCGGATCATGCAAACACGGATGCAATCAATCTAGTGAAACCGACGGATCACGAGGGGAAAAGAGGAAATCATTCATCGAGTGTCGTTGATTGCTTTCGCAATACCATCTGCGTTTGACAGATGTGGCTCTCGCGGCGCACATGCATCGCGTGTGTGAATGGCAAAAGGCTTTACAGCGAGGAAGTTCAGGGTCGCATACGACCGCACAAAGTAACCACGAAGACACGAAGAAGGAGTGCATCCTTTACTCGGAAACCTCAATCGCTCGACAGCGGCGACAGCGGCGGTTGGTCGAGCAAGTTTCTCGATCGTCCCTCGATGACTCTCGAGGATGCTCGTCGGAGAAGCGTGATGGAGAGGAATCTTTGCGCCCCGTGAAACTTACACGTGCTTTTTCCACCAAGGCAAGAAAAGAAAGTGAAAACTTGATGCTCACGGCGCGAGATTAGTTGCACGAATTTTCCAGAGGCAGGCGATGCGCCACGTGCGCTTTTCAAAGTCCGAAAATGACAGAGAGAGAGAGGGGCATTATTAAGTCGTAAATCATAGCAAAAAGTTGGACAAATCAGTTTTTCAAGGACACTCGTGCGCTTTGTTATTTGATAGATATCTATAATATTTTTCTGTATAACTTAGAAATCTTATTGTCACAATAATACTACTTAATCGTGTCTTTATTAGCGCGAAATATGAGAGATTCTTCAAAGATAACAATTAGCTCTGTTTTGATTTTCCTGCAACTAACGATTCGAGATGATGACTTGAGATAACAGAAATTCAACAATACTATCTTCAACAAAATTGTACTTCAACAAAACTAATGATTCTAGTAGTGTTATAGTTGCTGTTGTACCTCTCGTAACTTCACCAATAACATTATCAATGAGCAATTTATTATGATTACATATATAGCAATTAATGTATGTGAAAAAATCTACATAGTCATCGAGTAAAGAAAATTACTCGAATGCATAATTGTACATTACGAGAGCTCCTTCAAAGACTGTTTGGAACAACAACTCTACATAATAAACGTTATTAATAAAGATATTTTTTTTCTTCTCTCTATCAGTTTCTAAACAAATCGCGATCGAGGAAAATTTATATCTTTACTTACGGCCTTGAAGCGACTCGAGTGCTCCTACGCGTTTTGTCAGTCTACAAAAAGCTAGATGGACACGTAGGATATGATTTATTAGTATTGCGCGGTTGATCAGATTGCATAAATCATCGGAAAATTACGCGACACAGATCAAGCGGCACAGATTACGATCGATGATCATCAACGCGAAGTTCATAAACTTTTCCGGAGCACATCGCGGGCGCGCGGGCGCACCACCCTGTATAATTGGAGAACTGGAGATCCGAAGAACACCACTCGCCTCGGCAAGCACTCGGGATGCATCGAGAGAGGATGCAGCGGTGAAGTGTAGAATTGCCCGGTTGCGGTCAGCGCGCAAAACTCACACGGATCCAAACGAACGAAAGCGAACTTGTCCCGGCTTGTTTTCTTGTTTCGCGTTTTTCTCAGCTACTCTTCTCTCGGCGGCGGCGGCGGCGGCGGCGGCGGCGGCGGCGGCAGCGGCCGGCGGCGGAGATGATGACCGACGTTCATGCACTCTTGAACGACGGCTGAGGGACGACTGTTACCACTACCGTGATCGACGACCACGTGGACCTTCGAGGTGCCACACACCATCTCGTCTGCCTCGTGTGCGTGCCTTGTATACAAGGCGAGTACAGGCGAACTCGCGAAGCGAGCGTGCGAACGCCCGATCGTGAATCGTTTCTTGATCGAGACTTGATTGAGACTGCGAGGCGGTCGGACAAGAAGATGCTCAAGATGTAAACTAGAAGAAGACAATTTGATGAGTTTCCTATTAATTTTGGTAATCAAATTAATCACGCTACGTCTCGTTCATCAGAAGAGAATATTTTTATAGTTTAACGAGTGAAAAAATCCGATTAGTCTCAATGATGAATCGATTGTTTTGTTAATTACGATAGATAAAATATTCTTTAGATCATTGAATACAGAATAAACTTAAATTAAAGTTTTTAATTAATCTTTTTGAATAAACATGAGAACTTTATCCAATCTCGATAATAATATAATTATTTCGAGAAAAAGAGAAATGAACAGATATAGTCGTGATTTTCTGAACACACGTACCTTGTTACGTGCACGGAATCATGCGGGAAATCACAAATCTTCGTGAGAAAAATGGCAAAGTCTACATTCCGATCTCGGGATGGAGTACCGGTATTATTTTCAATATCAATTTATCTCGTTTAATCAATAATTAGATCGAAGTATCTAGCAATAAATCGAACGAATTAACAGCTCGATCTTAAAAGTACACTGTAACACACACATATTTCGTCTATTAAAACTATTTAATTGATACGATCGAATTTCGAAAGAAGAAGCTTCAGTTCGCAAAAAGCGACAACACGATCGATTTATCAAACAATTGTGAAGGCCAACGGTGTGATCGATCGACTGACCTTTCGATTGCTATGACTATGGTAATAATAAGATTTCCATCGAACGATCCGGTCATTCGTGATGATTTAGCATTTAAACTCGATTTATCGATGCGTATTAAAATGGGAAGCTATAGAAAAGACACGCGCTTTAATAAAATAACATTATATGTCTGTCTTCTGAAAATTTTCAGTATCAAGGCAAAACGCCTTTCATGAATAATTAATTAAATCGTCGGAATAAAATTGAATTAATTACGAATGAAGTAATTATATGCATAATATGTGATATGCATAATACGGAAATCTCATCGTGGGATAATATGACCGTTCGAAGATTCGGAAATTTTACGTCATTTTGCAGCTTCTGTTACATGAACATGCGTCGTTAATTTAAAATCAGGATTTTAAAGATATTTTTCCGGGCTTATCACGAACAAGATAAATATAATCATGTAGACTTCTTCGTAACATTGATGCAATTTGTTTTCCCTCCTACCCTACTTTACTTCATCATTTTTATTGTAATTTCCAAGAATATTATTTTACGTCGTCTTTCTAGAAGTGATATGTTATTATCACAGGACGCTCGTTATCGATGCAGCATCCGCTGCAACATGAACTTGTTACCGCGAATATAAAAAAACATACAAAAAGAAAGACTTTTTAAATAAAACCACATATCATGTATACATATCCCAATATCATTAATCAGTGAAATTGGCGAAAAATAGAACTCCAGCTTGTTAGTAAAAGATTTTCTTAAAGTTTATGTACTTCATTTAGAGCTTTGCTTAAAAACTAATCTATATCATTTTACACACACATTTTACCGTTAAATTTTCATTTATATTTGATGTAAAAAAGCTAGAAAATTTGAAGATATTTGTCTTATAATAAATTTGAAATATCTTCTATCTCTTTAGTAGGAAAGTCTCCTACTTAATATGAAACGTTATCTTGAAGAATAACTGAGAAATTTTTTGAGTTACTATAAAAGCAGGCAAATTCGAACAGTTTTAACAGTATGGCTTCGCGAGATATAAAGTTTTCGAGTTAAGGAGTTAATTATTTTAACTTGATTTTTGACGGATGCTGCATGACTGTATGTGAATATTACGGTATGCAACTTCAGGTCTTAACACTTTATTTTTATCGCGATCCTTTTTCTGCTTTTATAGTTTCTCATGATCTTCTAACGCAATCGTCAGCGTTAGTTTCGTGTTCCCTTTTAGACCTGAGAATTCTGAGCTGAGGTCGCGTCGCGTGTAATGTATGAATAGATGGAACGCCGACTACCTGAGCTAATTCGGAGAATATAAAAGAGAATCTCGCACTTTTTAGGGCACATCTAAAAATAGGGCTGACATACGGGATATTTTAAAAAAATAAAATACCAAAAGAGGCGGGAACCCGTCTGACAAGAATCGAACGTCCGAATTCGACCCGATAAAAATCGAAAAAAATCGAAAAATTGAAAACGAAAGGAAATCTCTCATTCGCGAAAATACGCGCGCGTATAGTCATGCACATCGCAACGATAATTGTTTATGTGTAAATTGGCGTAACATTAATTATGATACTGCTAGGGCACAAACATAATTTACTCGGTGATCAAGGTACCATTTATCGCTTCGTAATAACAGCCGTGAGGAGATGTAACGTTTACATCCGGAAATGCACATGGGGGGACTGCATGTGAATAAATAATGATTTCATAAATTACTGATATTCAGCGATTATCTGATTATTAGAATAGAATGGAACGTGCCTAAAAAATATAAATTTCACGCACATTTCCATTTCCTATTCCTTTCGTTTTCAATGTAAAATAAACGTACGTAATATTTTGTAGATTTTTTTTTTATTGACTTACGTAGAATCACTTTAATAAAGTATTCGTTTGTAAATTAATTTATTCACATTACAATATTCGCCATAATTCTCATTATAATATTCATTTATTATGAAAATAATTATTTAGCGAACGAGAATTGAAATCGCCATCAAAAACGCATTATTTGCATATTAGCGATTAAAAATAGATTTCTCTTTCAAAGACTAAAATAACAAATTCGATCGATATATAAACATTGATATAACATTATCTTATATAATTGTATTACTGTTATATTGAATATCTGAATGTTATTAAATAAATTAAATGTATAATATACTTTCCCAAGTGGAATAAAAGGTCATATAAACATCAAGATGACGTCGAGATGACATCATTTTGATCTTTATATAATTGTTTGTTTCATTTGGATTTAAATCTGACTTATAAAATAAAAAGAAGGATGACACAAATAAAGTATCTATTTTGATACAATAATATATTCTTTTCATATGCAATGTCCGGGGTTTGATAACAATATTATATATGTAAAAATGATATGTATAAATGATATGTATAAATTTTTTACGATTTATTCTTGACGATAAGAAATTAAAACGAAAAAAACTACACGCCGTAGTGCCGGAGATGCATCTTCTCGGCGATTGTTGTACGCGGACAATAGTCACTTACTTGCTCGAAATATTACGAAGTACCACCCAGATTCTCCCATAAGAGTTCGCACGCGTGCGATCACTGACAATTTCCAGGATAAAACGATCCTGGTGAATGGTATCTCATTAACCGATTTCTCACGCGCTTCCGCGATGACGTCAGATGTTTCGCGTATTGCTCCGATCGCCCGCGTTGCCGCGACGTGTCGCTTGATACCATCGGGCTGATATATCGCAAGACGAATATTATTCCTTTGTGAGAAGCGATTTTATTAAATTTCCTAGCAATCTGTCAAGCAGCCACGCCGCTTTGCCTCTCGACGGCCCGATATCCGGTCCTCGAGAGACTGCACAGCCACTCGGACGGGGACACGAGAAGTTACGAGGAGGAAGAAGAGACAAGGGAGACAGGCGGGATAGCCAATAAATATTCTAAGACGAGTATTAGATATCCGAATGTCTTGCGATTTATTCGGATTTATGGATATTTGTTATCGCTACTATATATTTCCAAGTTTCCAAAGTTCCGCAGCCCCGGGGCACCGAGGACAGGAATTTTTATCGTGAGACAGATCGGGACACGATCGGGCGAGCATCGATCCTTTGCGCTTGGCCGATCGCGAGTGCAATTGGGAAAGGAAATACGATATCGGCAGAAAAATCATTGCGTGAGACCGAAATAAGCGCGATTGTGTTTACAGGGAAACGCAACGCAATCGCGGCGATCGTATTAAGTTGACTTGAACAACGCCCATTGTGAAATGTTTTTTCCGGCCGCAATTTAGTGGACACTCCATGCCAGCAATTAGATAGCCTCCAAGATGAATAACGTCGGGGGCATTGCATAAATCCGTAATCCGCCGGCGCGACTCCGGCGCGGCGTTTCGTCCTTCCGTTCTCCAGAATGGCATGCCCAGGCGTCTTACACGCGCGATTTATCCTTTCTCCCTCGAGGTAACCTTCCGAGGATGATGGAACGCTGAAAAGAACGGAGGAGCTCTCCCCGTTCACAATGAGCGATCGTGAAAAGTGGGTTATCGTAATCGTGAGAAAAAGGAGAGACGAGTATACGAGATAGAGGAGACGTGCGCGAAATCGAGAGCGATTTTTTTCCCCGACTCTAAGCTAAAATCCGTAAGATTCAATTCCGACCGAGTTGACTTGAAAACGCTAATGAAATTAAGATCACACAATCGAGCGGTACATTATCTTCATTTTATGTCGTTACGCTCGATTGCGACAGGAACGACCTCTCTTTCTAAGGAAATTCTGTAGATTGCACGAGTGGCTATTTGAAATGAAAAAACGAATCGTACGAAGTACATATATGCTAATATTGCGGAATGAATCGCTATCTCGAAACTGGAATTGTTATTGAAACGCTAATGCACGTGCTTTTCATTTTCTTGTATTCATGAATTTATTTTTGCAAATGGATCAACTGTCAAGACATAATTTGATTTATTGCCGCTTTATTATCACTTCACTACACTAATTGTATACAAGAAGCTGTGTGAATTCTTAAGTATATCCGCATATTATGTCGCATAAATATCTCCAGTGCTTTCTTTTGCATTGGTTGTTATTTAAAGTGTGCCGTGTTTTTTTCGTACCTATTAGGTACGAACTGTTATACGGAGAGAATAGAGATATCCGTCCTCTCCTTGAGAGAAAATGTAATAACTAGCGCTAAGCAGGAAAACCAGTATGAGACGCGAGGTATTAATTTATGCAAATTACGAGGTCGAGACCTACTACCTGTGTGTGCTGTGCGAGAACGCACGAGAAATCTACAAAAATAATAATACTAATAAAAAATGAAAAAAAGGATGTGGCAAGGGATATGGCGTGAAATTTAATCGATTATCATTACGTAAGGATTATGCCTCCTCAATATTATGCTCGTTAATAACTGGATTTATTATAGTAATTAACTCGCACGTGTCCCTCCGCTCGGGACATATCCGCGTGCGTGTCGCGGCTCGGCTTGCTACCTTGCGCTTTGCGCGACATACAGAATGTAATCTAACGACGCGCGATCATTAAGTGGAATATTAGAAATTAGCGGTAAACGCGTTCGGCGAACATACATACATCCTTCGTACGCGTCTCTTAGTAATTATGTCAAAACACTTCTCGGCGGTGCGCAATTACGTAAACGAGCGTCGGTACGTAATTGAAGATATTATCGAGTAGAGCTTCCGGCTCGGGAATAAGTGATACGGTGATACATAGAATAATTGAAAATCTCGAAATAATTCGCAGCCGCGTATCTGAGGAGTGCATCGTGTGCAAAACAGGATGATAGATCGAGGAGATATCTAAATGCGACGATCGACGACACGGCTACACACGATGTGACACACGTTCGATCGAAATGTTGAAGTCGCTCGAGATAGATATCGAGAAAGACGGGCGTCTTTCTGGCATAGAAACTTGTTTGCAAGGTATATTTTTCCAGGAAAGATATACCTATTCAGGGACGTTTTCCTCCGTACGTGCATACGTATTTGTGCACGTTGCATTTCATTCTTCTCTCCGTCAAAATCTCATTTCGCGACTCAAATATACTTAAATCCAGCATTGAGGCGCAACTTTACGGCGATTAAATATTAAGTTTTGAAAAATATCTGGCATTATTCGATTGATTTTCAATTCAGAAAATTGGGTAATTTCTACGCGAAATATTTTGCGTTAGATCATCTTGATTTTTATGTATACTAAATAGCCCGATAGATTATGTTATCGAAAAGATAAATGAAAAGAAGCGATGCTCCGAGAGAAGTAAAGAAAGTTATTATCAATAAAACCGAGTTATCAATACTTCCGGGAAACTGCATATCCGGTAGCGTACATATATATCTGGTAGTATTAAGAGTCATAAACGGACTTCATTGTTCTTCAAAATTGCTCTGATTGTTATAATTATTATTAATGTTTTATTTATTCTGTACATTGATGTATATTATTATTTCATCGCAATTCACAATGCAATTCCCTCAACGCAAGCATAACTCTTTGATCTTTTTACCTAATTTTAAAACTTCAGAAAAACTAATATATCTTGTAATGTACATATTTTAATGATTACATATTATATTTTATATTTGTCACATTTTATAATAATTACAAATGAAAAATTAATATAAATTTATTATTACGATTAAATTAATAATTTAAATATAAAGAAATGTTTTGTATATATTTGTTTTTTTATTGCGTTTAAGATATTCAATAATTTTGTTGCTCCGAAGCTATAAAGCATACATGACGCGACATCTGTCATTTGAGAAGAAGAGTCAAGAGATACAGAGTCGAGTCAAAAAAATTTTGCGATAAACAGTATTGCAGTTTTGCAACAAATTATTCGATAGATAACCGTTTGACATTGTTGACAGCAAAAAAGATTTACTCATGATAAATAACTTGAGTAAGAATTGATTTGCGACATAAATGCCTGATACACATGCAATAACCTCTTATTTAATAAGTTTACAAGGCTATAAGTTTTATTAGTTTTATTAGTAAAAATGGAAAAAATTAAATTAAATTAGTTAAACATGCTGGCACAAATTAAAATTTTAATCTAAAAGTTTTATATAATAAATAAAATTTTCACTTTACTAATAGAAAGAAATGCTGAAAATTATCAAATCACATCTTTTTTATCTTAATGTTTATAAACAATTTATTGTCCATGTACGTCATAACGTTCGTAATAATCAGCATATAATGAGCATTCAATTTTTTTAACTTTTTTTAATTATTTTTTTATACAATTTTATATATTATTATCGAGAAAAATATTGTTAGATTTGCCTTGTAACTATTAAACATTTGTTTTTTACGCATTATAATAAATATGTATAATTAAAGATTATATATAATACACACTAAAATTTTATACGTAAAACACTTGTTTATAAAAAAATATGTACTAAATTTGTAATTTAATCAAGTATAATAATTAATAATGATAATTTATTTATTATGCGGTTCGAGAGAAGAATCAAAGTAACTTCCGTTTAATTTAATTTAATTGGAGTAATATAATAAAATATAATTTTATTATTATTTATTTATTCCATGCCAAACAGAGGACACATGAGACGAATGATAACTTCAACTTCAGATTAAATTTTTTTGAAGGAATCAAACATTAACATTAATTAATTTTACTAATTTTTTTCATTAATTTAAAAAATGGCAATCAGCTCTCGCTTTCAAAGTCAAAGACTAAGCTTTCGTCACGCGTCGAAGAATTTTTATTCGATTGCAACACTCATTATAAGGAAGATAATTTCTGAACGACGAATCGAACGTTAGTCGCACGCCATCCATCTCTTCGACAACGTGTATCGCGTGTGGTCTCTCGTACACGCAAATGCAGCATTCGACAGATCATATTAAAAGAATTTTAATAACGTTGGACTTTTCAATCAAACTCTATTAGAAAAAGAAACTCGAGTCTTGTTGTATTTATTAAAAACGAACCAAAAGTTTTGTTGAATCTCGAAGTTACTTACTCTTACTTTATTCACTTACTTTATATCAAAGACATATCTGAAGAATGTCGTGCCCAGTGAGTGATATTGTGTAAGTAATGTGTTTTTAACTTTTTAAAGATTTAGTGAGAGACCTCTGTTCTTATTTCCTCACGCAAAAAGTATGATTGCAGATTATTAGAATATTTTAATATTTAGTAAAATTTGTACTCTGAAGTTTCTTATAATCTTTTAACCGTGACTTTTATAACGTTGTTATAAAAAAATATGCTCTAAAATAAGTTATTTTAATCAAATAAGATAAATTTCATCTATACATCTATATATCTAAATTTAAGATATTTCATATTTAATTTTAAATTCTTAAATGATAAATTCTGATGAAAGCATTTCATAACACAACAAAACAGATTGCAGAAAAAGTTTATCATCATTCGATTTCACTGTGTCGTACTCGGTCACGCATTTTATTATCGTTTAATATATAATCAGTAAAAATTAACATATCTTTTAAAGGGACGATCATAATAAGGACGATCAACCACGACAGTTCGAGTTGACACAAGGGCCGGCGTTACATTACAGCGAATATCTGCGTTTAGATAAGATCTTGTCCGCACAAAGGCTTCTTAGCGCCGAATATAGCGACGAAGTTCATGACGAACATCTGTTTATTGTCACCCATCAAGGTATTTAAACAATTGATATTTGCCTCGATATTACATGGATAATAATATTACAGAATATTATCTTTTGTCTAGATACGAACGTAAAAGAATATCTTCTTTTATCTCGTCTATGCAAACTTTGTTTTATTATAATGTTATTGTTTATTTAATTACTCAACATTTTTTAACAATTTTTAACAGTAAAGAAAAAAGGAAGAATAAATATCAATTCATTTATTAAAGTGACTGATATGTAAAAAAAATAGTAAAAAGTTATAAAAATAAGATATATAATTTTAAAATTGTATCACGCGTAATATATAATTTAATTTTAGCTATTACTCTCATAGTTTAATAATTATTTTATTATTATATTTATTATTTATATAGGTTGTATATTTTGTTACATTTGTATTATTCCAATTGTATTTTTTCATTCTAATTGTTGCAGCGTACGAACTTTGGTTTAAGCAAATTATTTTCGAACTCGATTCCGTTAGAGCACTCTTCAACTCCGAATCCAATGATTGCAACGTGTCCAACGGATCTCCCAACGATCATTTAATTACCAATCGATCCAATGGAATGTTCCACGTCTTGAATGAATCGAAAACTCTGGAGATCTTGAAACGATTGAATCGTATTGTGCTCATCCTGAAAGTAAGTTTCTGAAAGCGACTCTCTCGGAAAGAGCACATTACGATTTTATACAATTTTAATCTAGTAGAACACAATTAGAGCGAGATGCTAATAAAGTGTCTTGCAGAAGTGTTTTACAATAATGATGGCGATAATAAAAGGTGAACGGCCCTTCACAAGCCGATTAGTTCGTCACAACTTGCAAGTCCCTTTAATCAAATTTTTCTGTCTCACCAGACAAAGCTGTTTATAGTTGCGACACTTTTTCTCACATGTTCACTTACATGTTTACAAAAATTATGTAATATAACACGCAGTACATGTACGTACATACTTGCCTTAAATCGACAAATCGATCATACACACACACACAC